TTGTTTGATTTCACTGAATATTTCTAACAATGAAATTTTACTAATATCGAAAAATGTATTGCGAGTCTTAAAATAGTTGAAACTATAATTTTTTTGTGTGAAAGTTAATTAGGTTTACATTTTTATGTGAAACAAATCCAGTAAAAAGTTTTTTAAATTACTTTTATAGAGTGGTAAGTTTGATGTTATGCCAACAAAAATTGCATATTAAAAATAAATAAATAAATGTAAGTGGTTTGACCTAATAATTTTTTGTAGCGATTTAAAAACAAAAATTGATCAAAAGAATATTCTTATAAATGTGAATAATTCTTATATTGTGAATATTTTTATAAATAAATCTTATAAATGTTACAAAATGCCCTTATTTCATAAAAGTATTAATTCATTTAAAATAAATTACTACGATATTTTTTGTTAAAATTGCATTAAATATATGTTTGATAGAATTAGATTTCACAAGTTAAAATTTACAAAATATCTTGTTTATATTATTTTTGATACTCTCACTCCCTGAAGCATGTGATATTCAGATTTATGTCCTAGTAAGATTTTTCACAATGCTATAAATGTGTTTAATAATAAATTTGTCTGCTATTACACTGTAAGAAATTCCAGATAAAATTAAAGTATTAAATACCGGAACATAGCGGGCAATATATATAAAATCCATAATATCGTAAAATACATCTTTACCGTCAACTATAATACTGTAAATTTTACGGTAATAATTATTCAATTAAAGTGATTTTCCAATAATTATTACTCTAAAAATTATAATCATGCATTTTGCAATGTAAAATTTTTCAATAAAAATGAATTTTACGGTAAAAAATACCAGCAACATCAATAAAATCCATAATAAATATCGTAAAATACATCTATACCGTCAACTACAATACTGTAAATTTTACAGTAATAATTATTCATTGAAAGTGATTTTCCAATAATCATTACGGTAAAAATTATAGTCATACATTTTGTTCCGTAACATTTTCCGAAAAAAATGAATTTTACGGAAAAAAATACCGGCACTCAGAGTGCCAGACATTTTTGCATTAATTTTATTGAGGATGTTTTAGAGTGTATGCTATGATTTTATGAAAATATTATTTAATTTAAAATAAAATAATACCATAATTTCTGTTAAATTTGCTTCAAATATATGTTTAATAAAAAAAAGCTTCGAATTTTTTATTTAAAAATAATTGTTTGAGAAAAATGCATTTAATATTGATCTTGAAGTGTGCAATTAGTTAAAAATATACATGAAAGTATATACTTTTAACATTAATAGCTTTTTAACATTAGTTAAAATTTGTTTAAGAACAAATAGGATAATTATTGCTATATGAAAGTTAATTATTGTTTATTGGTGAGTATTATTTAATATTAGAGGGGGTGATTGCTACAGGTTTGATTTTGATATTAATTTACACTGTTAAAATTTTCATTTTAAAATTATGGAAAAATAACTGGCAGCTGTCTGTCCATCTGATTAACCGTAAAGTTTACGGTAAAGAACATTTTTTTTTCCTTTATGGTTTTGAAACCATTTACGAAAAGTGCGGTTATAAAACCATGAATACAAAACTATACGGTTTTTTGACCATTTACAACTAGCATTTTTTAAAAAACGTAAAAAAAACTAATTATTTAACTAGTCATGGGTAATGGGCATTGGAGAGTGCCAGACACTCGAAATTCTTCATATGTTGAAGGGAAGGAGGGAAATATTGCGGTGTCAACACTAGGACTCGAACTCCAGTTCTGCCGATCATGAGATTGACATATAGGCCAGCTCAGCTATGACATGTACGCAATTGCAGAGAACTAAGTAGCTTCATTAGGTGGTTCTGGTTAGTGCGATAAAACTCTGGTTGTTTAACCGTATTAGGTGAAAGCAGTTAATAAACAGTTTTTCTCACTATTAACAGTTTGATTACCATTTTATTTATTGTTATTTTACAGTTTTGATTAAGTATGATAAAGTAACCATTCAATAAATTTCTATTTAGTCATTTTTTCTGAGAAATTTCTATCAGTGTAGTCAAAAAATAAAATTGAAATGTATTTATTGTATACGTTAAAGTATATAATATTATTTATTATTTAAATGTATTTATTATTTATTATGAGCTGCAATCTCAAAGAATTCACGGAAAAACATATATTTTAAATAAAGTTGAATAACTAAAGCTTTAGCAGTGAGCTTAAACAAACTTTCTCATTCACCATGCCGCTCATCAAACGCTGTTTTGTGAGGTTTCTGAGATTCCTGATTATGGAATATATCCATTTACTAAGATATTATTCACCACCTCATGCATAAAATATGAGTTAGGTGGTGTAGCGTAAGCCTATACATATTAATACATTGTTTGCTTACGGAAACCGACTGGATCAGAAATGAATACCGATAAAAGAATGTCTGGAAATTATTTTACTCCTGCTTCAGTATGTGAATGATCCGTAAAATTATTTTCCGATAGTGAAATTAAAGTTTTAAAATTATGTGCAGTATATTTTGCAATAGTAAGATATTCTTCAAATATACTTATAGCTAAATTATCATACAATGGATATCAGAAAATGAAATCTCAAATAAAATCGAAATTTATTTATTATATACGATACAGTTAAAGTAGTAAATCTAGTAACTATTTGTTAACCGGTGATTATTACCGTTGATTGTAACTGGTCTGAGTTTTGCATGAATTTAGTCCCCAAAAAAAATCAAAATTTATTTATTATATACGTTACCGTTAAAGTAACTGGCAATTATTTGTGAACCGGTGATTATTATCGATGATTGTAACAGTTTGAGTTTTATTTGAGTTTAGTCCCAAAATAAAATCGCAATTTGATTAATATGTATGTTAAAGTAGTAAATCTGCTGATTATTACCGGTATGGGTAATACTGTTAAATTAATAATTCTGGTAACTATTTAATAATTGGTGATTACTACTGATGATTATTATTGGTTAGGTGATTATTACCGGTTTGTGTTTAACATCAATTTAGTCCCTAAATAAATAAAATCAAACTTTATTTACTACATACATTAATGTAATAAATATGGAAATTGTTTTCTTACCGGTAATTATTACCGTTGATTATTACTGATTAGGTCATTATTACAGGTGTCATTTTTACATTAATTAAATCATAAAAATTAAATTGAAATTTATTCATTATTTACGTTAAAGTATATAATAATATTTATTACTTAAATTATTTATGAATCAAACGATTGCAATATTTACTAAAAACTGAGATTTTTTTCTCAATATAATCGTCATTGAATAGCCACCCCATTTTTTAGGTTTACGATTACTAATGTTGAACTCCATAGCTTTGTCACTTGGAACGCAATGCAGAAAACAAGGAAACTCCTGGATCAGCAATTGGGAGAATTTTGTTTTCGTGGAGGACTTTTTGAAGGAACTAACCCGCATTTGCATTTCATGGAGAGAGGACTATGATACTGTCCCACGGTTAGCCTGACATCAAAGGGATTCTAACCCATGATCCGTCTACCACTGAGAATACTTTAAGCAAGCAGTGTGGTCGGTTTAAGTCGGATGCGTATTCTTTTATCCCAGCCATCGCTGGGATTCGAACCCGGTTCACTTCATTGAAAGGCGAACGTTCTATCATCTGAGCCATTGCCATTAAAAAACTGCAATTTGAATGAAGTAATGGAAATAATATATTTGAACTAAAATTGAATAACTAATGTTATAGCACTAAACATTAACTGTCTAATTCGCAATGCTTCTAAACTAAGGCTGTTTCTGAGATTCTTGATTATGGAATAAATCCATTTAACAAGATATTATCCACCACCTCATGCATAAAATATGAGTTAGGAGGGGTAGTTAAATTGTGTGTGCTATATGCTTAAGTCTATACATAATAATACATTGTTTTCTTACAGAAACCAACTGGATCAGACAAGAATACCGATGAAAGAGTGTCTGGAAACTATTTTATTCCAGCTTCAGAATGCGAATGAGTGGAGAAATCATTTTTGCAGAAGAAAAACTTTACTTTTCTAATACATATTGTGTATTTGTGCATTGTGTATTTTATTTTACATATTGTGTATTTGTAACACTATATTGTATATTTGTAACACTATATTGTATATTTGTAACATATTCTACAAACATGCTTATACCTAAATTATCATACAATATGAGTAACAGGAAATGAAGTTCCAAACTAAAATAAAAATTCATATATTGTATACGTTACTGGTAATGTAGTAAATCTGGTAATTATTTTCCAATCAGGGATTATTACCGGTTTGAGTTTTATATTAATTTAGTCTCAAAATAAATCGAATTAAAATTAGTTTATTATGTAAGTTAAAATAATAAAGTCCGTAATCATTTATCTACCGGTGATTATTACTGGTTTTAGTTTTATAATAATTTGGTCCCAAAAGAAATTCTAAATATATTTAGTATATACTTAAAATAATAAATCTAGTAATTATTTGTTTAAAGGTGATTATTACCGCCGATGATTATTACCAGTAGTGTGATTATCACCAGCTTGTGTTTTATATATATTTAGTCACAAGAGAAATCGAAATTTATTTGTTACATATGTTAAAGTATTAAATCTTTTAATTATTTGTTAACCGGAGATCATCACCGATGATTATTACCGGTAAGGTGATTGTTACTGGCTTAATTTTTACAATAAAATTAACAAAAAAATCACTTCGAATTTCTTTAGTGCCATGCCAGTACTTTATGTAACAGCATGTGACTTAGTGTTTCCGTTAGAAAAATGTCTATATATTTTGTTTTAGGAATTGTTGATAGGAATAAAAGTTTATTAAAGTATCAAATATTTCAATACTAAATAAACTTTTAATAACTTTATTAAGGTAACCTCTATTGTACATTAATATGAATGAATTTATATGCCTGTGATGGCTCCTAGAAATGGGTACACTCATACTGCGGTATTTATGGAAATGAGATGGCAGACATGCTTGCCAAAAGAGGAGCTGGCGTTCTTCAAAAGCCCAAAACTGAAGCAAGCCTCCATTCCATTAAACTGCTGACATCACTCCTATATCAAAAGACTTTTAGAAATTTTAATACTCGGGCTTGCGATGGCAAGCCTTGGAGTGTTCTTTTAACAAACTCAGCTTTTATTCCTGACCACCCGCGATCAGTTGCGGTTGCTGCTTTTAGACTATTAACGGGTTATGACTGTCTACAGAATCATTTATTTCGCATTGGACTAGCCGATTCATCTTTGTGTGTTATATGTGATAGTGGACGGCCATTGACGGCAGAACATTTGGACGAGTGTGAAGCTCTGACAGATTTTTCTTGTATATTTCAACGCTATTGGCAAGCAAGAAGTTTAATGGCCTAACTGCAAATGTAACTGGCATTTGACAAATAAAAAATATGCCTCTAATTACGTTTTTTTATATGACGTAATTATAATGTATTATAATATCAGTAATTACTTATGATTTTTTTCACTGTAAAAATATTAACTGAAATCTAGAATATTATTATACTAACTAAAATTTAAAATTTAAGAAAATTATTTTTTGTAATTTAATATTAAACAAACATCTCTTATGGTATTGCAAACTACATTAATTCATAATGCTACTTTTACCTTTAAGATTAGATGAGGCTTCTACCAGAATCTAAATGCTCAGATTAAGTTAACAATCTGGGTTTACCTGCAGTTGAACCATGTAAGGCTTCTGTTTCGCAATTAAAACTAATATCCCTCTAAATGAAATGGACCTTTCCATGTTCAAGTTTTGGAATGTAACGTAAAGAGTTTAAGACGTTTTCCGAATGCTAACTCCACTTACTCTTTCAATGAAAGTATAAAAATAAAGTAATGCAAGACATTCCAGAAGTAGTTAAAGAAAGCATATTTATTTAACGATCAATTTATAATATCATAAACTCTCACTTGTACTCATGGTTAATTTCTTCAGGCGAGTTTAATTCGGGTAAAAAGTATTTAACTTATTCGACTGAAACAACTGAAGTTATACGTTAAAGAAAAAGAAAATCACAGTAGAATTAAGAATTATGAAACGAGAAAAAATAACAAAATAAACTAAATATTTAAAATGAATTTCCTACTCTAAAATAAAAAATATTAAGAACTAGTTTTATGGATATTTTTAAGAACAGGATTGAAAATATGCAATAAATAAACAAAATCGTTTTTCTTTTAAATTTTTAAGTAAGGGCTATTAGAAAATAAAAACCAAAAGAAAGAAAATTTTCATGATACAAATTTAATACTCGATTCTACATATGCTTCTCTTTTTTTCTTCAAAATAGTCGCCAAGTTTGCTTATACCAAGTTGCCACTTATACATTACAACTAGATTTAGAATACCCTCTTATTAGTAACTGGCTGCCTGCACCAATAACCATTTCATATCTTTGTCATAGTTGTACCATAGTCCCGACCATTTTCATACCTTTGTCATAGTTGTACTGGTTGCAGCCAAAATAATGTCTCAAACACGGAGAAGATAAAAATCACTTAGGGCAGGGTCTGGGATGTATTGATAGCTGGTCCAAAACAGTCCAATAAAGATCGGCACTTGGCTGTGGAGAGAGTCATTGTCATGGAGTAACCAAATTGCCTGTCAGCCTGCCAGTACGAGTTTAGTAAACTTCAAAAATTTGTCGGTGAATGCATGCAGCAGGCAGGCTTTTTGCTTAAAAATGCATTACTGACCGTACCTCCTACATGGAGGCCGATTTGTTAAACTTGAACATTTTAACCCCTTTACGATCGGTTAATTTTCAAGAAAACGGTCATAAAAGTGCCTATTTTCCCAAATATACGTATTTGATTAGTGCTGACATCTAGTTTAGGATAAACTATCTACAATTACCTTAAAATATACTGGTACTGCCCTCTGGTGTGTAAAATGAGAAATAAAATATTTTCTGGGCAAAATAAATGAATTATTTTATTCTTATTGGCGCTTTACTACTGAACACTCCAGCACGGAAATTTCACGGGAGCGAGAAACAGAGGGCAAAACCTCACCCTGTCATTTTCACGGGAGCGAGAAGGAAGGGGTTGAAGATACAGAACTGACCTTAGAGACTATCTACACATCTGTAACTGAGCACAGTTGTTCCCAAGGAACCATAAGTCATGGCACAAGCACTCGTTGCTATGCACCCGTCATACATTGGTGTACGCAACAAAACGGCCCTTACTTAAAGAAAAACAACCCTCGTTTATTACTTAGAATTGTATGTCTTTTGTGTAAAGTGGAAAAAAATCTAAATTTTTTCGCAGACTAATGTTTTTGAAAATCTTTCAAGGGATTATTATAATGTTCATAATTTTTAAATTACTTATCTAGTAAAACATTTCTTAACTTCTAAATATAAATAAATCATCACATTCCACACCTTAAAAATTCTTGAATATTACAAGTTCAGTATTAAGAAGTACATTTAACAGCATTTTAAATTTTATGAATTATAAAATGGAACATACTAGAAAGAAGAAAGCCGTTCCGCTCGAAAAAAGAAAGCAGTTCCGCTCGAAATGAAGAAAACCGTTTTTCAACAAAAAATCTTTTAGTTAAATCTTAAGGTATTTTGAACATATCTTACTTCAAATTTTCTTCATATTTTTCCTTTCGGAATATCCTAAAAAAATTTGTTCCAAATACTTTAAGATTTTATGCAGGAAAGAGGAAAAAATCCAAGTAAATATCTACAACATATCTTTCGACTTTTCTGCAGATTTTTTAACACTAATAATAATTCCCAAAAGTGAAACAAGATAACATGATTTTGACATTTTGCTAAGAGTTTTCTATCTAAAAAGAAGCACACAATTTGAAAATTCCTATTAATACGAAACGTATTCTGAAAGTTTGGGTAGAGTTCAAATTAGCTATCTTATCTATCCACAAAAAAAACCAATTACAATTACTTTATCCCCTCCAGTTCATTTACTTTTAAACGGTATTTATTAATATAATAGTATCGTATATGATATTTATTAATAGTACATAAAAGCAAATTATTTAGTGACCAGGTTGTCTGCCTTCTACCCACCAGTCTCCCTTCATGACAAATCCCACCTGGGATGATTCCGATCTCTAATTTTCTTTCCCAAGAAAATTGCTACCTATTTAATATTTTATTCAAGTTATAAAGTATTATTTATAATTCAAATCATTTTTAAAACAAAATTTAATCATTTTCAAAATATATGTGTTTCAAAAATGAGGTCTAAAAATAGATCTAATAAAAGGGATCTGCATAATCAGAATAATCATTGCAGACCATATTCCTGTGTTGCGTCAGATTAAACCTCAGGCCTCATACCTCAAAAAGACCTTCCAGCCAAATAAAGCTGCTGGTTCTATTCCTAATAATGCTTTGTCAGTCAAATTAAGCCTCAGACTCCATTCCTAAAGATTGATTGGGAAAAAATTATTAAAAAAAGATCCTGCGGTTTAATTTGATTATGAGAGCATCATGAATAATGAAACCTGCTGATTAATTTGAATGGAAGGACATTATAAGGAATGGGGCCTGCTGCTTAATTTGACACCACCTCATAGCCTCAGCGATGTTTCCTTCCTCTCTTCGTGAGAGTTTGATGCAAGCCTGATGACTGCAGTACTTCTGCGACGTCGATCACTGATCAATGTTTGAAAGATGAAATAGTATTCAAATCCAGACAACGTGAGCACACCGTGTAAGCGGCAGTAGTAAATTGTTTAGCGTCGACGTACGTGAACGTGATGATTGCTTTGATCTTTCGTTAGTAGCATCTAGGACCTGTCCGATCAAACTGTTTATGGCGGCCATTTGCGTTTGAAAATGACTGGTCGAAGTATGTTTCACAAGTAGGAGTCTGGCTTTACTAACATCTATTGTAGTTCGGGTCCTCGCCCAGTTTAGTTACTAGCGGAGACTGGAGATGTTAATTATCTAATCGAGATAAGTAGTTTTAAAAACAGCGAGACGTTTTCTTCAAGCAAAGCACAGTGGACTTCATTTTTGTTAATTACTCTTAACTCGTTTTCAAGTAATCTCATGGCTTTTCCTCACCATGGCAATGTGCCATTTTTCTCCTCACAAAGCTTTTCCTCATGGCAATGTGCCATTTTTCTCTCCACCTCATCCTTATCATTATGCTTTTAACCTCAGGGCTTCACCTCATAGATCCTTACTTCATGATGAAGGGGTAAAGGGTCATATCGGCCTCAGGCACCCCAAACAACCAACAAGACCAGGCCCGACCTGCATAATTTACTAGGAAGGTCATAATAAAGAATAGAGCCTGAGGCTAAAATCATACCAAGGGAATGGTCGTAATTTGACAAGGGATGGCCGTTGTTGACCACGAGTCATGTTCGAGGGGTCATAGAGCTTAAGGCTTCGAAATTTCGTGATTGCATGGTAGGGGAAATGTGATCAGCACTACGCACTACCACCTTTACTTCCCAGAGAAACTGGTACGTAACGATCTGAAACCGAGTTGGTTGTCTTCAATCCGTCACTGGATTGTTGAACTCTAGTTTTTCACAATGACAGTATAGTGCTTTCACCACTGTACCATCGCGGCTCCAGTGTTGGATGGAACAGAATTAAATATCCACTTGAATCAAATCTATGTTTATACCATTCTTAACGTTAACGCACATTTTGCGCCATCGCAATAATAGTGGTCAGGCATTAGTTTTTGTTCAATGACGATTTTTATCTTTGATTTTCATTCTACTTTTTTATATTTCTCCGGAAAAAAACACTTAAAAAATCATGCAAATTCATNAATATCCTGCATTCAAACTAAACAGTAACAGGAACCTATATATATAACGCAGACATTCCTATGATATGGGAAGGATCGAAATTCCTTATCAAACAGTAGAATAAATGTTTTACGTTTTCCATATATGTGAACATATAAAAGAGTAAGAAAACGTCATTGAACAAAAACTAATTCCTGCCTAATACCTGAACTAATGACTACTTCAAACTTCTCAATCATAACTTAAGTCAGAACATTTTAATTGATTATTTAAATAATTATTAAATGTATCATTTACATTGCAGATTTACATATATAAAAAAGTTATTAAAGTTAAGAAATTATCATTAATAAATAGTACGATAATAAGTTTAAAAATAACCATGAGTTAATTAGTAAGCTAGACGTTGTATAGTGCTGCAAATTAAAAAGAACAACCCATGTTCTTTTTAAGAAGGAAATTAATGTCATTTTCAATGACAACTTTTGTTTGTAATGTCCTGGCTTTTTTATCCAACGTGTCAAACTGTCAGACGTTTAAACAAGCTTTTGAATGTAGTTACGAAGCAAAAAGTTCTACTAATTGTTTCATT